TATTTGTCATATTATATTATATTTCAATAATTATTGTATCGGCAATAGAGTATTATGTATTATACAGTAAAATTTATTTAACAGTTGGTTCAGCGGTGATATCATATCTTTTAGCTATTAAATATTAAAAGGGATGAAATAAATTAAATTTTATTATTTAAAAAAAGATTAAGTTATGAAAAAATGATAAAGTTTATAGATTACGTTAGAACGACGTTTATTGATCAGATAAATTTTTTTTATAAATTTAAATTTATTAATAATATGTAAATGCACTAGCTAATTAATGATAAGTTAAATGATGAAAACAATGATAAATAAATTGTACAGAGAGCAAAGGGTGTATGTTAATCTTTGAAAATAATTAATGATTAATTATAATGGAAGCAAAGTGCGCGAAATGATTAGTTGGAAGGGGAATGTATGTGTAGTTGCAAGTTGCACGTGAGCAAGTAGAGGTCAGTAGGTCCCTATCGTGTACTACTTTTAAGTATCCCAGGGACCGCTCATTAAATCATACAATCATTTCATTTGTATGTATTTGTTTTACCATTGGATGACACCCAAAGCTTCCATTAAAAAATGAGAGAGAAAACCAAATCTGACCAAACATCCGTCGGCACGGGTCAATAAACTTGGAATCAAAAGATCACGAATATACTTTAGTACATTTAAAAGTAATCTTCTAATTATAATATAATAACAGGATTGAAAGAATATTTTTGTTAACAACTTGGCTTAAGGAGATTGATAAGATATCTAATCACCTTGACATTGATTTTTAAATAGTAAAAAATTTATAATTACATTTCAAAAGAACATTATTCATTCTTAATTATAGTTTTATCTTATCTGATATGATCAAAATTTTTCAATTTATATATTTATAAACGGTAGATTTTCATTGTTTAATAAATTTTTACCACATCATGTATTTGAGAGTAAAAGTTGAGACAGAAAGTTTGGATTAAATTTTACTAATTGCTTATTACTTTGAGCACACATCAAAACCTCATATGGCAAAGACAACCTATTAGGTTATTACATTTAAGTTTGAGTGAAAACCAAGGGTTTGATTTATCTGTCACGAGTTGGTCCCTTTGATGCTTTCCAACTAGTTCGTTTGAGATTTTCAGCATCCTTGTCTTCCCCCCTTATCCTGTTTTGTCATGAGGATCTGGTGAGGCTCTCTACCCAAAAGGGAACCACCAAGACCTAATCCATTCAATGTTAGTTAAGGGGAACCTTTTTTTTGTCGCTCCACATTAACCTAACACCCTTTCTAATCCGGAAATTCTTCTTTAACTGAGCTGTCAAGCTCTGTCATCAACTACACCACCACCTACATTTGTCCACGTCCAATCCTTCAATGGGAGGAAATGCCCGCAAAATGATCGCCTATTCTCAAAGAAAGCTTTGGCTTTTGGCATGAAATGCAGAACATTCCAAAGGAAAAGGAGAGCTGCCTGGTCTCTGGCTGGGTATGCAAGGAAAGTCCATGTGGTATTCCTTTTGTATTTTGCATGTATCTTCACATGTAAGCTTACCTTTTCAGAAAAGAGATTTTTTCGCATTGGAGAGTTGAAAATTTTCCTTCATTGGCAATAAACGGCTAACCGAACAAAAAAGAAAGAAAAAAATAATAAAAAAAACAAAGTCAAATACCCGCCAAAATCTTAGCTGATAAAGAATAAGTCATCGAATTTTGCTTTTGCTTTTCTCACGAAATTAAGTGAGAGAAGAGAAATTATATGTTTTAAACAATAAAAAAAATTCAGACTAAATCGACCAAGTGAATACATTATATTCATATGTACACACACTAGTCTAGCTAATGGTATTGGAAAGTCGAGTTTGGTATTGAATATCAAGGGTAAAGCAGCAAATGATCAAAGCGAAAACAAATTAAAGTGAGAAAGCTACATAGAAGTAGAACGTGATGGCAACATATTACCTCAAAATATTGGTATTCGCGAAATGACAATTAGGCCAATAAGCAAGAGTAAATTAGAGAGAAAAAAGCTACCATTATTTTTCTTTTGATGATAACTCCACTCAACCTCTACATGAGTCTGATATTTCGAGTTCTACTTCGAATATATCCAATGGACAGAATTTTTCCCAAAGGAAAATTAATTTTCCAAAAAGTTGTAGTCATCCTGGTCATTGTCAAGGACTCTTATTATGCTAAGACTTTATCCCAAAAGTACCAAATAAAAGTTTCAATCCGCAATAAATTTGATGGTATCTTTACTTGTGAACTCCCCTTTGGTAGGAACCAGCAAATAAAATTAAACATTTCATTCGTGCAAGTCCCTATCAGTGTTGATAACCTTTTTAATCTGGGTTTGATTTTCCTCTTTGAATCATTAGGTACCACAAAAATGGGGTCTCAATGGAAAAAAAAAAGAATTTAGTTTTATTTATTTATTTATTTTTGGATCGATAATTGGTGGTTGATTATTTTTTAGTGTCTGTCGTGTTTAATGCCTAATATTTGTCTGTTCCCTTAACTTTTCTTCAATGGATTGAAGGATTTGACCATAACATTTTAACTTTTTCAGGATGATGATAAACTGAACAATGTGGTGAGGACAACCCCTGGTTGATCTTGTTTTGTTTGAGTGGCGGGAATCGAAAAAGAACAAAATCGAATGGAGGGAAGTAATGAACAGGTACATGTATAGACTAATTAGTCTAGAGAAAGATGGCAGAGCGGCGGAGCCTGTTGCTTTGGGGTTGGATTTCTTGCTAGATCCAAGGCCCCCCAACCCCGAGAGCTTCCTGGAAGATAACAGAATCAGATAGAAAGCCCAGCCAACGTACACAAATAGTGGACATTCGGGTCTGGATTTAGATCCGGTTTGGATTGAATTGGGTCATTACAGTTCGAAGGACATTCGGGTCATTAAATATGGTGTTTGAGTTTCATTACAATAATTTGAATTTAGAACTGTACATTTTTAAAATGTATAATTAAAAATATTTTGAATAATATTTTTAATATTTCTTACAATACTATTGTAAATTTGATTACATTATATAAATTTTTAATAGAATTATAAATACAATATAATTATAAGAATTACAAACACTAGCTAATTCTGCCGTTTTAATATTATTACTAAATTTGAAAAATATAATTAAAATAAAAAAATGTAACTAAAAATTTAAATAATTACACTTTTTAAAATTTCATTACATAAAATATGTCTAAAAAATGTAATTAAAATCAAATTTATTGTAGTGGTTATTCGGGTTGATTTTGATTCAATTTGTTTACTTTTAAGATCAAATCAAATTAGATTTAGAAGGATTCATATTAAGTCCAAATTTATCAATTAAGATATTCAAAGTTGCATTCTCGTCAACTTGTAACTTATCTTTAATTTTGATTTTTGATATTATAAGAATAATGTTCTCTAGAAATTTTATTTAATATTTAATTTTTTTTTCATGCAATGATTATTATTAGTCATTCACCAGAATTATGGTCACTGCTTATGATTTATAAAGTCAACCATAAATCAAGTTAGAAGTTGTGATAATTAGACTTTTAAATATTAGAATTTTGTTGAGAGATAAAAATAAAAAAAAACTATTGGGAAGTTTGAATATAAAATGTTTAATTCTTTCTTTAACTACTTTTAAGAGTCCAAATTTATTTTTTACAATTAATTAATATCTACTTAAAGTGAAATAAAAGTAAAACATTTAAAAGTAGGTGTCACAATTACCTTTATCGAATTATTGTTGATTATTTTTATTCTACATTAATTACTTTTTGTTTTTAAAGTTATTTTGACCTACATTTTAATTTTTTATTTTTTATTTCATTAGAGTAAAGAAAAGGAAAAAAATATTTTTTATATATGATGTATAATTGTAGAAATTAAATTTAACTATAATTACAAAAAAAAAGTCGGTTTTCTTACTTGTAATTTACAATAATAATACCCAAAGTCATAAAAATGTAAGAGTAAATAAAAGAAATTTTAAAAGATAATTCAAAGTTTTTCAAATATTAATATATTAATAGTTTGTGTTTTATATTTATTATTTTCAATTAAATTAATATTTTTTTTAAAAAATAAAATTATACTCTATCAAAGTTCAAGTTGTTTCGTTTTGGAGAGTTGGATCGTTCAATTAATTTAATTAATCTTAGTTGAGTTTGAATTCAAATCAATCAAACTAAGTTTTAGAATTCAAACCAATTTTGCCAACTTGATTACCTTGGGGCTCACCTCACACTGCCCATATTGAGACGGGCGAACTAACAAATGGTGAAGTCGTTGTCTTTGTTTTAGGAATCAATATGTGAGATGATACAGACAAACACACACACAACTCGCTTTTATGAAAGAAAATATGTGGAGGAAAGGAAAAATAGTATATTTGTGTTAGTACAATAACTTTTGGTGTATCTCAAATCATAACGTCAATGCTCTCAAATATCCAATGCTAGGAAACAGATTTTTTATTTTGTAAAACGTACATAAGCAGCCAATTGCAGAGATAATCCACCCCTACGGCCCTATTCTACCTGGACGAACCCTTAGGTCGGTTGATACGTTATGCTCACTCAATTAATCCTCTCTTAAGAAAAAGCCTCTCACCTATACTGTTCTAGAGGAAGAAAAAGAACTAAAGAATATTTCAAAATCTACTGTATAATTTCTTCGCATATACGACGTTGGCTTTAGCCTTTTGGAGTTTTGCACTCAATGCTAAAGGAAAGGCATTTGATTAGTTTTCTTGGTGTAATTTAGCTATTTACTTTGATTTGTAACTTGCTTTTGATAGGAAACTTATAGGGACAAATGTAAGATGAGCAATGTTAACAACACGAATCTCTGTTTACTGCTTCAAACTTATTGAACACAGGTCTGAAAACTCCTGTACCTAAAACATCTTATTCGTTACGTGAAGTAGCAAAAATTCTTAGTCCTTTACTTAATACTAGATGTTTGAACCGTCTGTCATAGCAGCGGCAACATTCACTTAGGGGCCGGGGCAACCGCAGCGAAGCGAGCACAACTATCCTTGAGCAAGGGTGGGAAGAAAGGGTTGAAGGGAAACATTTTAGGCCAACAATTTCCATTGACTGTGGCAAAAGCCTTGCAGCAATCACGGCCAATGTGACCAAATTGGGCACTGAAAAAGGACCGATAAATTTCCCATATACATCCCTGTATGTTGATTAGAGCTGACCAGCATTGCTGTATATCCCGCGGAGTCCTTGGTGGGAGCAGACCTGAGATTGGTGATGGTAGGATCCCTAAAGGTGGGGGCAGCTGAGCTAGCCCTGGCTGGATCAATACTGCAGTACATGTGGCCAACAGCAGCCAGCAAATAGTTGTTTCAGCTTTCATTGACATGGTTTTCTTTTATTAGCAAGATGGGAACTCTTTCAATAGACTACTGATAAAAGGCCTTTGATGGTAAATTTGGTGGGTGAAGGAGTAAAGTGGGTGACAATTTATAGAAGAGAAACGAAGACAGAGCAAGTAATTGATTTTAGAAACTGTTTCCTGCGCACGTTTATCAGTGATGAAGTTACAAATTTGGGAAATAAATTGACAGTAAACACAGAGCAATGTATCTCATTATACATGTTAGAGTTTATTGCATCACAGCATACTTTTGGCGTAAATATTTTTTCCGTTTCTTCAGTCAGGAGCGTTTGATTACAGAGATGATCAATGTCCATGGAGTTAATATATTACGGTTAAGAGGGGGAAAAATAAAGGGGGCATTGACATTCAAGAAAATACCAATCTACATACATTAAAAATTGTTCCTGAATAAGTTAATTGATTGATATTTATATAATATAATTATTTGACACATAATATTTTGATTTGGGTTTAATTCAAATTGATGGGGAGTTTCAAGTTAATTTTAGACTTTTTTAATTTATGTTCTTAAAGAGTTTAACTTTCGCAATTCTTGAGTTACCTTTATAGTTTTTTATTTTTTTTTCATTTTAAACTGATTAAGACTGTAATATTATGCCGACCATTTATCTAATTTTCTTTTACAAGTCCATATTCATTATGGTGGTGTTTGGGATTTTGGAGCAATCAGCAATTACTATATTATTGTCATAGGATAGTCGATTGTTTTTTAAATATTTGAGCTCAAATCTCATTATGTAATAAAGTATTCAAATCTTATAAATATTTCATTAAAATTTTAAATTATTATTCGAATTGGTATTCAAATATTTTAGACATTTTCTTCTAAATACTCGTTTCAATTAAATATTTAATTCAAATCAATTTTAAGCGTACATATTGCTAGTTATTACAGGAGACATATTCCACCATGTAACCAATTAAATTTAACTACCAGTCAACAAAAAGACTTTGGGAAAGGTTAAAAAAGAATTGTGGTATGTATGCATTTAAAATTAAAAAAAAATCCGTTGGCACCCAAAAATAAAATAAAACCCTTTAATCTAAATAAAAGTTTTGATATATATATATATATATATTTAGTTTATCATATTAATTAAAAAATTGATCCTTGTATTAATTAGTAAATTGATTGTGTAATAGATATAATTTATTTTGTTATTCCTTTTTATGAGGCCTATATTGAAATTAACTTAATTATCAGACAACTCAGATTCTATTGGTTGCTTTTTATTTTTGTTCATCACCATATTGAAGCTAAATTATCATTATAAAATTAATAAGATTGAAAATCCTTATTGCTTTTTTGTTATTCAAGACGAGATATCAGCAGCCTGTCCTGGTTTGCAGCTGGCGAGAGATGAGCACGAAGTTGTGACATTAGGGAGATTTCTTTGCAGTGAATGCTCTAATACAAACAAACTACTTTCAAGTAATAGCAATCATAGTTATAATAATTTAAATAAATATTTGAAGATGAATTTTTTGAAATTCTTATAAGAGCATTATGTATTGTTTCATTATTTGAATGACAATCATAAAAAGTTTTTATCATGATATTTGAGACTCTTAATAACATGTCCGTTATGAGATAAATAAATTTATTTTTCAAAAAAAAAAAATCATTTCACCATGTGAATTTTTGGATATGCTATTTGACTACTAATATGAATTTCCTTGCACACAAATGTTTCCATTGGTTGTGGAGAAGTTAGATCTTAAATATGAAAATTGACAATTTTCAGGTAATTTAACTTTCTCTTGGAACTATTGGGTCGCTTAACAAATGTTAGTATCTATTGTGATTAGTTCCATACCATGTGCTTCATGATTCTAAAGAGAAAAAAGCAAAGTTTCTTAGAACAAAAGGAAATCCAACAATCTCTTAATTGTTCATAGTTCTCAAAGTTAAGGAAAGATAAATCATCAATCTGTATAGGTAGACCTAATCTACCTTTGTTTGCTAAGAAGTATAAAACATAGCCCTAAAACCTCCATCAACTATAAACTAAACAAATTATTAGCACCACTTTACTCGACCCAACTACTCTAGGTAGCACGGGGAAAGCTACACAGCAGAAGAAGCAGCGCCCCCACTATGGGAGCAGCTATCCTTGAGAGTTGGTGGGAAATTAGGACTTATAGGGAACATTTTAGGCCAGCAATTTTCCTGTATAGACAGAATTGCCTGGCAACAAGCAGGGCCAGTGTTGCCAAATTGGCCGCTAAAAAGAGACCTGTAAATTTCCCATGCACATCCTAGGGTGCTCATTATAGATGACCAGCATTGCATTATATCGTTTGGGGTTCCAGGTGGGAATAGGCCTGGAATTTGTGGTATGGTTCCAGCTGGTGGTGGCTGCACCTGGGCTAGCCCTGGCTGCACAAAAACTGCAGTGGATGTGGCCACTACCAGGAGAAGGAAAGCTACAGCTTGAGCTGTTCTAGACATGGTTGAGACAAAAATATATTGCAACTTATTTTTCTTGCTGGTACTGAAGCAGAAGGCTAGTTGGTGATTTCGTGGACCAAGGAAGAAATCGGGCCTGAATTTATAGATGGGAATTAAGGCCAATCAATTTATGAAATTTCCCTAAAATACCCTTAATTGCTCCAAATTAATTACTCAGGTGAAAGAGTTACAAACTAATTTTGGAATGAAATTGATGACATATATATATTCTTGGATTCTTGTTAGAATTAACTTTAATTTGGTCAAAATACATATAGCTAAATAAAGAAAGGTAATAATACATAGATTGGTTACATATTTATATAATATATATATGTATATATATCTATACTTTATATAAAAATGATTTAAGAAATATTAATTATTTAGACTCTGTCCCTAAAAATATACATTAATAATTTAGACAGTTTCCGGCTAGTATAACATATTTACAAACATTTCATAGTAAATTTTACTTAATTAAATTTTAATTTAGATCAATAAGTATAAAACAATATTACTATTACTTTTAATAAAACCGACCTTGTTATTCATTATCATTCTCCAAATATAAGATAGTACTAAATCGTACTACTTCTAAATAAAATCGTTTCCAACTGCTAACTATGTTCTTGAAACAAAGAAGTATCAACTAGAGACTACATCCTGGCTTCGGGTGTCCATGCGCATGAAAGAGATGGGTCAACTCTCCTACAGCGTCCACCCAAGCCTAATTGTTTCGGTTTCCAACAACTTTGCGGGCAGCGGTTGCTGGCGGTGTTTGTGCTGCTTGCAACACCACAGTTGAGCAATGGTTCTTAAGCAATGTGACGAAGAAAGGGTCAAAGGGAAAAATTTTAGGCAAACACTTATCCTCAATATCAATAAAGGTCTTGCAACAGGCAGGGCCAACGAGTTGGAGCTGGATGCTAAGGAAAGAGATTATGACCTCTTGTAGACATCCCTGGACGGTTTGCAAAGTTGTTAGGCACATCTGGACATCTGGGTCTTGCCCGAACAATGGTGGGAATGGGATTGTTGTTGTTGGTGGCGGCGGCGGCGTTGCTAGCGTCGGAACCTGCAACAGGAATCCATAAGCTGCAATGAATGCAGTAATGTATGTAATTGTGCCAGGACCCATTTTGAGTGTAGACAGGGGTAAGTGATCACTGATGTTGGTGCTGCAGGTTTGAACTTGATTGTGAGGAAATTGGGAAGTGGAGGGTGCATTTTTATAGGCAGAGATAATAATCAAGTTCCCTCAAGCTCGTCCCTGAACTGTGCATTTACTAATCTTCAACTGATAGTGACCTTTAATATTGCATTTTTGTTACGGTAAAAGCCTTAAACGGTAGAATTAGTGATGTTCATTGACTGTTAAGTTACATTAAGCAGCTTTCTAACATAACTGTAGTATCAGTAATGTCTCTACAGGTGGTCTAATATGATATACACGTTAAAATAAAAATAAATTTTCCAGCATAGCTGATGTACCAGAAGTGAAATTGAGAAGCAAAATAATAATTTCTATATAAAAATTCTTGGACTCTTAAATCTATTGATATCTACATAGAACAGAGTTTGATTATTTAACCATAACAGGTCTACCAAAAGTTCTGCAGTTGGTTGAGGACTGACCATGCCAGTTCTGGATAATGAAAATGTCAAATGTGTAATATATGATTTCTTGTTGGCTGTGTCTGTCAGGATGGTTTCGTTAAATAATCATAAACTTCAACCTTAAAGAAAACATAAAGAAGATTCAGGCACAGAATTGTTTGCACAAGAGTCACAACCAAATCCATCCCAGAACAGATGAGAACTTAAAATTTCAAATAGCATGAGCCTCTTTGATTTGAAGAAATTCTGTTAAAGTTTTATTGCTTGAATAATTCAAAAGCAAAACCTATACCAAAGCCTGTTAATTTGCCACCTCTCATTTGTTCTGGCAAATTTTCAAATTCAGCTTCATTCTACTAAATTAATTTGCCGAAGGAAACTACCTAAAGGATTTACGTAAATGGTATGTCTAAGTAGTCCAGAATCATATTTAAAAAAGAAAAAAAAAGTCATTCTGGTGCTAACACCAAACGGAAGTCAAACAAATGAAGAGTATATGTTTGCACCTGGAAGCAGAAGCTTGCCGTTTAAGTATATTGAGGAATTCAGGCAATTTCAGATTGATGAAAAGATGCCTAGAAATTTAGTTTAATAACACTCTGCCCTGGCCTTGGACCTGCTCACCGGGTGAGTTCATCTTTTAATTTGTTTCAAGCATGCGTACGCTTCAGCACATGCAGGAAAGACCTTATGAGCATTTTGTTTTTAATCGAAACTTTTATTATTAAGAATCAAAAGACAACCCCTAAAACATCACAAGAAGAACTATCTTCCTTATGGAGCCTACAATACCAAAAAAAAATTCTCTGAACAGGACCACTCCCTCGACAATTGCTATCAATGTAATTCTACAAAGATGGAAGAAAACTCAATCTAATTATTTCAGTTCAGGTTTTCTCTGTGTAAGGGCTTGACCAAGTGAGCTTGCTTAGTTCACTTAGGTGCTGGTGCAGGGCCACCGATATCAGCACAGGAGTTCTTGAGCAATGGAGGGAAGAATGGGTTAAAAGGGGACAACTTAGGCCAGCAATTGTCTTTGATTTCTGTGATTGCCTTGCAACAAGCAGGACCAATAGCACCAATTTGACCACTGGAAAGTGACTTAAAAATCTCCAATAAACAGCCATTACTGTTAGTAAGAGAAGACCAGCATTCTGCAACTTCGTTTCCGGGCAGCACTGGTAATAACTCTGTCGCAGAAAGCTTGCTGATGTCATTCAACAAAGTTCCTGCAGGTGGTGTAGCTGAACAAGAAGTCCTGAGCAATGGAGGGAAAAAAGGGTTGAAGGGGAACATTTTAGGCCAACAATTATCCTTAATTTGAGTAATGGCCTGGCAACAAGCAGGGCCAATAATGACCACCTGGCCACGGAAGAGTGAAGAATAAACCTCCATGATACATCCTTCTGTGCTGGCAAGAGATGACCAGCATTTTTGTACTTCTCCAGGCTGCCAAGGTACCAGTCCTGGGACACCTGACTTCGGCGAAAAGGAAATGGTGGCAGCAACAGTTGCGCCATTCCTCTTGTTGCCAACATGGTCATGAATGCTAAGTTTAAAAGCATAGGCAATGGCATTCCCGATACCGCCACCATACTGAATTTGATTAGGAAAATTCTGCAAGCTTTTTAGAATATTGGACTTGGATGGGTGCTAGTGGATCGGTGGAAGCCTGGAAGGAGATAGATGAGGATTTATAGTACTAGAGTTATTAATGTTGAAACGTTTTATTTGTAAATTGATGAGGCCGTTCTTGTTTGTAATTGTGAAGTACCTTCAGCTTGACGGCAGCATTTAATTAGCAAATAAGTATATGGTTTTACTTTTCTGTCATAAACATCTTAATTTGTTGTTTGATCCTTGACCTTTTTAGTGTTCATCCTGTTAGTCATGTTACAAGTTTTGAGTATAGAACGAGTGGAAGCTTATTGGAGCAGCGGTTTCTCACAGATATGCCTCATTCTCAAAAAAAATAAAAATAAAAACCACAACTACTACTACTACTTGTGCTATAACAGCAGAAACAAATATCAAGAATTGGTTATGTCGGCATTTTCCAGTTCAGCAAATGCTACTCAGGAGTGGATCATATTTTAATGAATAAAGATGCTTTTTTTGGTTATCATAAATTGGAGGAATAAGGGGTTAGTTAAGAACAAAGTTCCAGGCAAGGTATATCTTGCACTTGCCTACACTCTCTGACCCCAAAAACGTGGCTAACTTTGGGGTTCAAGTCGGACCGTTTTTAGCAGATTGGCTTTAGTAGAAGAGAAGCATATTTTGTTGGTTTAGATTGCAAAATGAATTTAGTTAAATAAGTTCCGTGCCCTTTCATGGGCTATTGTAAGAGCAAAACTGAATTTTTTGCTTGCATATTCCCATAACATTGCACCACAAAATATGAGCAGGTCATATATGTAAATGAAACCTTTATTATTATCATTCCGACGTTAAAACACCAGAAGAAAGCACGTCTTCCTTGTGAAAGCTACCAACCTAAAGGCTATAAATGCTAAGGAATTTTCCGGAGAAAACAACATTGAAAAGATCATCTAAATTTGTTTTATTTTAATTAAAAAAGCTTTGCAGTGTTTTCACAAGTGAACAATAGGCTGTAACGGTGGCTATAGGTGCACGAATTTGAGGCAGATATCGAGCAAAGGTCGTTGACAAGCAATCGTCAGCTATTCCAGTAAGGGCGTCACAACAATCACCGGTTAGACCTTGCAAGTCTCCTGTGGTGAATACCTCCTGAACCTCAGCAACACAATCTTTCACATTGTCGTAATTTCCAAGGCACTCTGCTATCAGCCCTCCTATGCCAAGTGCATTTTTCTTTGTCTTCCCCTTCCTAGGGAAAAGATTTTTAGTGAATTTCTCCGATACTAAAGTTTCTGGTGGTATGTTTCCATCTCTTGGTATGAAAAGTTGAGACTCTGGTGCCATTTGGGATTGTCCCGGTTGGACCATTGCGGCTATGCAAAGTGCCAGCACCATTGCCATGATGCCATGGCAAATGTGTTTGTCCATTTTGGTGCTGTCATGGAAGAAGAAGGGAGGGATTATTTGTACTGAATCGGAAGAAGGGAAACGTTTGAAAACGTATCTATGCAGTCGATCGGTTTTAACTATTACTTTGTATTTAGATGCATTGAATATTTCGAATTTGTTTTGCAGTTATTCTTTTCTTTAGAAGGATTAAAAATTTAAGGTTCAAATACTTTTTTTTATAATTATAAATATATAATAAAAATGACTATTACAAAGTGAGAGCTTGAAATACTATAATAAAAATGCATTATTTTATATGCCCTTGAAAAATAGGCATTATATTAACCTTAAAGAATAATTGTAAGTCCTAGATCAGAAAATACCCTCAATATTAGAATTTGAAATTTTTAAAAATCTTTTATTCAAATCTTGAAAATAAAAAGTTGAGTTTGTGGGATTAGAGGAAAATCAGCTTCCTTCTTTTATACAGCTTATAAGGATCAATTGCATACACTGTACTCGAATTGCAGTAAATTATTGATTTAGTATTTTAAAAAATATAATTAAATATTAAATTTTCATTTTGTTAAGTAAGTCGTGCATCTTATTAATTCTATTAGTAAAAATGAATAGTATATTCGAAAACATTCATTTAAAGTGTATCATGTGTGATAATTTTATTATAAGTTTTGAATATATTATTTTGTAAGTGATGTTAATTTTGGTGTAAAAATTGATGAATTACAGTAAATTTTATTATAAGGTTTGAAAATATTATTTTACTTGTAAAATTCATGCGTGAAATTGAAGCTACTAATTATTTTTTTTTAGTAATGTACATGTTTAAGTTAGGTGTGGAATTGAAAAAAAAAAAAACTTTATTCTCATCATGTATTGGAATAAACCTATTCTCATCGGTCTCCCTCCAAGCTCTATTGTTTCCTCTCTTTTCTACGCCAAAAGAAATGCTGAGGAGAAAACCCACCAAAATTGAAGTCAAGCTCGAAGACAAGCAGGAACTTGAAGATTCCCGCAAACCCTCCCCTCCTCCCCACACAGCCACTACCTCTTCCTCCACCTCCTCCTCCCTACTTCACCTCCTCGACCGCTCCCACCCTAACCCCACCGCCAAAGTCCAACGCATCGGCCTCTCCCCCTAATGGAAGTCGAAGTAAAACTCCGCCTCCGAGACGCCACCGCTTACCGTCAGCTAACCACCATCCTGTCTCCTTTCCTCTCCCAAACCCTTCACCAACAAAACCTCTTCTTTGACACCTCGACAAATACCCTTTCCTCTCAACTTTCTGTTCTTCGCCTCCGCTTCCTCAACAATGATGCCCGCTGCATCGTTTCCCTCAAATCCAAACCCACTCTGGTAGACGGTGTCAGCCGCGTGGAGGAAGATGAGGAGGAACTAGACCCGTGTATCGCACGCGCTTGCGTGGAGGACCCGGTGAGGTTGGGGAAGATTGAGTCGAGGGTTTTGAAGAGGGTGAAAGATGAGTTTGGGGTTGGGGAAGAAATGGGGTTAGCTTGTTTAGGTGGGTTTGAGAATAAAAGAGAGGTTTTTGATTGGAAAAATTTGAAGCTTGAAGTGGACGAGACTAAGTATGAATTTGGGATTTGTTACGAGGTCGAATGTGAGAGTGGGGATCCTGATGGAGTTAAGAAATTGCTTGAGGAGTTCTTGAAGGAAAATGGGATTGGATATTCTTACTCTAAGATGACAAAGTTTGCTGTTTTTAGGTCTGGGAAGCTGCCTTAGCAAAGTGAGTTTGGGATTAATATCTTGCATAAACGGTTTCAAAAGTTGTCTCTCTAAAGTTGGTTTTGGGGAAATCTTTGTTTCGTTTTGTGTGTGTGTTTGTGTGTTTTATAAGAGTTGTTTGTTTGGTTGTTTTAAATGGTTTTTGAAGTGATTCTTGCCCTTGTTAATGCTGGATGAAATTATGGCTGCTTGTTATTGTGGGTTTTTGGTTATGTTAATTTGTTTCTTTTGCAGCTTTTCTTATTACATTTTGGTTTAAGTTGCTGCAGTGCTGACCATTAAATAGAAGTAGTAGTACGTTACTGGTTATTCTCCGGATTGAATCTATCAGCAATCATAAGATTGAAAAAAAGAAAAAAAGATAATTCCTTCGACTAGGAGAATTCTTGCATATTCTGCAATGTTTTGCCTTGGAACCACCTGAGAGTGCCTTCCTTCTTAATTTTCAAACAATGACAAAGAAAAAGAAGTCTGTTGTGATTGGATATTACTGATTGCCATACTTTTTTGTGGTATGAATTATTGCAACATGAGTGTTGTATAATGTATAGATTACTGACATTGTATCATAAGTGACAACTAATTGGTAATGAAGTTGATAAACACAAATACTTGATATGCCCTCTGAATTCTTGAATGATGAGAGCTGTGTCCTTTGGTTTTAGTGTGAAAAGATAAACCTAAATGCTGCAAAAGAAAAATTAGAGATGAAGATGATGAATGCAAGATCAGTTAATTTTATTAGCTGCTTTTGTAGTTATAACTTGGAAGAAAGGTTCATTTTTGGTTCTTCTGTTGTTTTTATCAGTAGCCTTAATCTATGGACTCTTATATGCTGTAGCCATATTCCTTATTATAATCATCTTTGGATATTGTTGTTTATTTAATTGGTTTTAAATTATTTCTCTCTCACAAACATATTTTACTGAAATTCTTAACTGATTGTTAAATCTTCTGTTCATGTTACTTATTAGGATTGAACTATTACTTATTACTTACCAAACTTTTTCAATTTTTATTGGTTATTTACCTGTTTGGTACCACATTGATGTAGGTTTGTGGCATTTGATTCTCCCTTATATTTTTCTGATTTTCATGTATCCACTTGGGGACTTAAGTCTTGTGCATTATTCGCTTTATGTCCGTCTGCCAAAATGTTAAGATAACGTATTATGATGGCTGTATTCAGCATATGGTCACATGAGTCATCCAGATGGTAAATTCTGACTTATGTTACTTCTTCTTTGAGATATAGGAGTCCATTTGGCCATGCAAAGTTGCAAATTTGTAATTTAGGAGCCATAAACTCATCTGTGATGGGACATGAAGAGCTGGCTAAGCTTGTCAATGTTTAAGCAATGTCAAATCTGTTTAGGTATCTTCACCTCTGACATAGGTGCTTCTGAAGCTTCAATTTTGTTTTCTAGGTCTCTCTCTCTGTCATTTTTGTTTTGTCTCTTGCAGCCATTCAGACTTACCCTTCAACATATCTTTGGACCTTAAAACTGAGCTTAGCCTATCTGGTTCCCTATGTTTATCCAACAAGGCATGAAGAAACTGACTGTGATGTTTTTAACAACTTTTTCTTATCAGGAAACTATGCTAGGGGTGCCTGAGATATGCTATTTTTTCTTAAAAGCTTTACCCCAATGAACGCATGATTTCTTTCTTTTGTTTCTCTAATTGTCTCTAGATTTGTGGAAAGGAAAAGATTTTTAGGTCATTATGGTGTTAACTACTTGATTGTTCATGATGAGAAGGGAGTTATCTTGAGTGGGTTTATGTTGGCCGTCTAAAACTGTATCAGGGCTGGAAGACAGAAATAAAAGAGCTTGTATGTTGTATTAATTGAAATAAGATGCGTATCTTAGTTAAATTGCTAGTTTATAGCAGCAAAAGAATTAAATTGCAAGTTTATTCTTCACTTAGCTGCATAGTCAATGCTATTCTTGCAGTATTGATTTTCATTGACTTCACTGAGTTGATCTATTGATGACCCATTTCTGCTGTAGGTTGTCATGCAGAATGATTATGAATGTTGACCCATGTCAAAGAGACCATGCAAGCAATGGCGGAGGAGCAAAATTTACCATCTTCCTTTGGAAGAGAACAAATAATTTTTCCTTTCATAGCATGATTCTGAGAACTTATATCATTAGCAATGAACGTGATTATAATTGCATGTTAATACTCTTTGACAAGTTTGCATAACTTATTTAAGAAGTTTGCTCTCTGGCTCTCTGGGTGTTTTCTCTGAACTTTTGTCATGTGCACAATTTTGTCCATGACGTGGCGCTTTTCAACCATCGACCCTATTCATCCATCTCTTGCACCTGTCTCCATCTTTACTAAGTCCCAAGCCCTTAGGTGGCGTTTGTTATCAGAGATATAAGCTACATTCCCTGCAATGTAGCTTATTAAATTACATTGCAGTGTTTGTTTTGTAATAGATCACTGCAATGTAAGATTACAATGCAATTACATTGCAGCCAATGGATGTAATGTGATTACAGTTCAAAACTAATGCAATACATTGCATTTTGCAATGTTTTTAAAGATAATTTTACCCTTCAACTTTATTATCTTATTAAAAATATTTTATATATTATAATTAAAATAAATATTAATTTAGAATAAAAATTAAAATAAATAAAATATAAAAAATTAATATTTATATAATATAGATAAAACAAATTAAAATAAAATATATAATATAAAAAATATATTAAAGAAATATTTAATAATTATAATAATAAATAAAAATAAAATATATGACATTAAAAATATATTTAAAATATGATATTATATAAAAATTAATAATATAAATTAAATATATTAAAAATAAAATATAAAATATTATAATAATAAATAAAAATAAAATATATGATATTAAAAATATATTTAAGAAATGATATTATATAAAAATTAATAATATAAATATAAAATATTATAATAATAAATAAAAATAAAATATATGATATTAAAAATATATTTAAGAAATGATATTATATAAAAATTAATAATAAAAAATATAAATATATTAAACTTATATTTTAATAATTAGAGGTAATTTTGACAATTAACATTACATTTTCATTAAAGTACTTGTAAACCAAACACTGCAATGTTATTTTCCTTGCATTTTAATCATTATTTTACTTACATATCAAACACTGTAATGTTATTTTCTCTATAATCATATTACTTGCAATCACATTACTTGTAATCATATTGTATTGTAATGTACCAAATGTCACCTTAGTTTCAGCAAAAGATGATCTGAATGCAAGATGAGTTAGAATTTCACAATCACGACGAGGTATCATCGCAACCCAAAAAAGAAAAAAATACCATCTCCCGTCAAATAGCTGAAGGACAAATGGCTGTTCATGAACGCGCTGGGTTCTGCTCAACATCATTTACACCTTTTAAAATCCCAGTAAGTTTGGCCTTTAACTACACAAACCAATTAATACACTGTTCTTCCATATCGAAAGACTGGACCTATACCTGCGTATCGACTAAGTAGCGTAAAATGACTTACGACAAGAAAAATGAATTGCAATATTTGGGGGGTTAGTATCGGAATTTTCTCCCTCGAGCATAATTCTTAGGACCTGGAAGCCTCAGTTCTGGCCTTTCAGAAAAGCCAGGTTTCATTCAAGATCAAGCGGTAATTGAACTTCAGTTTGATAGAATGATCATCACTCCAGTATTAATTGCTAAGTTGATATAATTAAATACACTCAAGTGTCCAGTTAGTTGTTTCACCAAACCTTACCAGGCTACCAAAAGCCCATGACGTAATAAAACGAACTGAGTATTAGATGCATGTAGAAGTAACTAGTTCTACAGAACAAATAGGAATGACCATTAATCCACGATGGAATAATATGTATCATAACCACCTGTAGCGTAACTACATGACAAATGCCATAAATTAAGGTTCCTTCAGAACTAAGGATAGCGAATCTTCTAATCTATGCAGACAAACATGCTGAATTCTCCCTCCCTACTAAAAGTTCCTCACCCAAAGGAAAAAAAGAAACAATAGAAAATCTAACGGCCTACGATTAATTCACTTCCTACGATTAATTCACTTCCTCTTCTTCGAAGGTGGCTGAGGAACCTCATCATCTTCATCTTCTTCATCTTCCTCTTCTTCATCCTCCCCATCCTCATCACCATCATCATCATCCCCATCATCATCATCTTCTTCATCATCCTCTTCATCACTCCCTCCATCCCCATTGGCCTCAGGGTCATCCTCGGGATCCCTTTCCTCACCTTCATCACCTGAGAAATCCTCATCAGCTGCATCATCATCTGGATCATCTGCATTGTCATCATCTTCTTCATCATCATCATCCTCTGTATCACTGGCATCTTTGTTTTCTGGATCAGGGCGTTTCATTTTGAGAAGTTCATCAAATGGAAACCTAAAAATGAAGTCAATCCAGCCAACCTGTTACATTTCCTCTTACCAACCATTGATGATATATTACGATGAAAAGGAAAAGGAAACACATTACCTCTCATCCACTGCAGTCAAACCATGTGATGCATTCATATCCTTCAGCACTGATTCTGTCTGCACCAATCTTAAATCATGTTAGAAAGGATCCTAAGCAAGATACATACAACAAAAATATGAGGATGTATGCTCTCCACATACAACAGGATTCTATTTGCATTTTGAAAATTTTACAGAGAAACAATAATAAAATTCCCTCATCAATTCAAAGTCCACAATATGATGAGCGTAGACTCTGAACATAAAATTTTCTCAAAAATAGAAAAAAAAAAAACACTCCAAACATAATCAAGATCAGAGAATCAACTGTGAAGGAAAAGTGGAGTGTGGACATTGCTGCAGGCAAGAAGAAGCAACAGTTCTAGAGCTCAGTGTTGTTACTTATTTGAAAGCTAGGCTTTTTATATATTGACATGCTAAAAACTTTTTTCAAATGATTGAAATAATCATGTTCTTGAAAAGGAAAGAAAAAAAATGGAGATATTGCCAAACTAAGTCAGAAATTAACCCAGATGTCACTAATCAAACCCTGAAAAAAGGTCCTTAAATATCAATTTAGTGCCCAATAAGCTATAAAGGCAAACTAGACCCACATTTCATATCTAAGAACAGCAGCAAAAACTTTGACCCAGGGGCCCCAAATTTGTAGTTTTGCATTAAATGACAAATAGAAGGCGATCTACCCTTCCACATTGTTCCCTAATCTTCTGATAATTTGCAGTACAGATTGAAACTTGACATTATTGTTTTTGTATTGGTATAAATGGTAAGAGAAACAGCAAACATCCGAAGCACTAAAAGGTGCAGAGGAATATCCAATCAAGGTCAGAAACCAATAAAAGTGGCATAGAAAGATTCTCATCTTCTATGCTGAATCCAACTAAAAACCAAAAGCTGTAGGACCTCTCAGGCAGCAAGTTAAAGAATCTGTAGCCACCAGCATACAGCAGAAAAGAAGAAGGCATTGTTTGATTGCAGGCAGCATTACAACAAACAGCATATATTTTACTTGTAGCGAGAAGATTCTAATCATATTAGTTATCATACCAAAATGTAACTAAACTTATTATGGAAAAAAGATTTCAATTACTCCGGCAACATTTCAGGTAAGTACAAGATTCAGACAAGAAAAAGCTAGCTTAAACATGACAAACTCAAATAAAAAAATTACAAAAAAAAAAGGTGAAAACAAGTGGAAATACTCCACAAACCCCACTTCTTGAATCTTAATATGGGAAAAACTTATGACCCCGGACAGTCAGTCCACACTCCATACAACTGCAATCTCCAAAAGCAAACCTTGCCCTAAACAAGAACAATCAATGTACAAATTCATAACAGAAAAAGGTAACAATTCTAACACTTCAACAGCTCACAATAACCTCAACCAAGACAAGAGAGGGTCAACCACCAAAATTCAGTAAAAAAAGGAAAGGGGATGGGGGAGAGGGGGTGGAAGAAGAACACAACACAAGCAGCAAAAACCTTATAAACAAACAATTATAATGCTTTTGAGACAAAACCCAGAAGGCAGAAAACAGCATATGAAGCAAACAACACAACTCAACTCCCAAACTAACAGAAAAAAATAGCCATTACTAAAAAGAGAGTAAATATACCAGCATGAGAAGGTAAGCCAGAGAATTTCCAGCAAGAACCAAAGTCTCAGCCACCAAAGCTTCCATTACAGAACATACCCAGATGCTCTTTTCAATTGGGCTCAATCTACCCACCTCCATTGCTGCCTCGACTATGCTAAAAAAAAAAATTACACTTCCTATAGAAAAATAAAATAAAAATCAGTTAACTAAACGCAAAAGACTTCGGAAAAAAGAGCGAAGATAGAGAGAGAAAGAGAAAAACCTGAGCAGAGTGGTTCTGGGTCTGGGTCCGGTTAGGGTAAACCCTAGGGTTTGGTCCGGATTAGGGTTTTGGTTGCCAAAATGGATATTACCAGGTTAATTTTGTCGACTTGCACGAAAGACGAAAGGCATTTATTGGATGCAAAGAGGTAAAGTGCAGTGGAAGAAAGACAAATGGGTTTGAAAACAATAATTTTAAATTTGCTTTTTATTTTTTGGGGGGTGAAATTGAATTTTCTTGTGAGTGCATTTATGCATTATTTAAAAGATATTTTTGACTTGACGCTTTGGATCCAGTGTCAAGGCAATTTCATGTCAAATTGGGGGAGAAAATCACGTGGTACTGGGGCCACTATAACATGGTGGAATTCGCCAGTCAGGTTCCTATTTGAGCGCAGTTCTGGAATTTGATTGGTGGAGCCTAGTATAATTAATGGGATTGGAAGTACAAAATTATAGTTTTGTATTTTGCGCACTTGTCGCTCTATTAGGGACAGAATAAAACCGGGGCCGCCTTAAATTGTCTAGACTGGGCCTGATGGACTGGACCAATATAGCCCCAAGTAGGCTTTTATAGAAGGCTTGGTCTGGCCCATGTGTCAGCTTCCAAGGGGAAAGTTGTCATTGACTGACCAATGGCCAAGGATTAGTCTCGACCATGCAAGCCCACCTTGACTTTGTCCAACTTATTACTTCACTAAAAAATCTTTATGCCAGAAATTAAAAAAATAAAAAGATATAATTAGTATAATATTTAGGTAATTATATAATGTTTTAACGTAATGAAAAAAATAAATAACCAAACTGTCATTGCCCTCGTTAATTCCACCTATTTTTT